CGGTTTGCTGCAGCCCTGGACGGAGTCAGAGATACGGTGGAGAGAGGGCGAGGTGGTGCGGAGGGTATTGGGTACACTCCACCTTCACAATCAAACTGTATCCCAGGCCTGGCTCACTCCAGCCTCTGCTTTCTCCTATACTCGGGTTGCTGAGTCAAAGCTAGCATTTCGGTGCCTCTAACCATTCTGGGACTCCAACTTCAACCAGGCGTAGCTGGGCCCAGTCTTCTTGGCTCCCCTGTGAGTTCTCTCTCATTCTCCAGAGCGGCCTTTCTACATTTTCTTCATTCCTCTAAGCCTTTAATGCTGCGTAATTTTTACTCTTAGCACATGATTCAACCTCCTGTTTCACAAGTCTGTGAATTAAACTGAATTATTATCTGATTTTTGCCTCTTGTCTTCCTGTTACAATGTTAGGGGTGCTCCCATTTCTTCCTTAGGCCAATCTCCACTCCCATGCTTTTGAACTCCCGCATTTAGCCTTGCCTGATCATGTAACACTTCCATTTCCAATATCCTCAGTGTCTTCTACAGCATTGAACTATTTCAAGTCCATCCCAGTGAAACCATAACAAATGGTCTTGACCCAAGTCTCTTTCCAGATACTGCCCAGTTCCTCTCTCCATCGCTGGTTGAGTGAACACATTTTTACAAATTCAGACTTCTCCTTTTCAAACCATAAGGAATCACCATTTCAAACAAATCCATTCCTAGATAGAATTGAATAGTCCAGAAGTGGGCACCTGACCCAATCTAGGTTAATTAGAATTCTTTCCTGATTTGTTTATTAATCTGGGTATTATTCCATTATACGACTATACCACAATTGTTAATCCATTCCCTCTGCTGATGAGTTTTTGGAGTGTTTCCAATATTGGGCATTATGAATCAATTGGACTACTATAAACATTCTTGTACAAGTCTTTTGTGAAACATATTTTTCATTTCTCTTGGATAAATACCCAGGAATACAATTGCCAGATCATAGGATAGATGCATGTTTAACTTGATAAGAAACTGCTAAACAGGTCTCCAGAGCAATGATACCATTTTACAGTCCACCAGGAATGTACGAGAGTTTTATTTGTTTCAGAGTCTTGCCAACATTCTATATAGTCAGTCTTTGATTTTAACCTTCTTAGAGAGTGTGAAATGCTATTTTATTGTGGGTTTAATTTGTATTTTGCTTGTGTCTAATTATGTTTAACACCTTTTCATAAGCTTTTCCACCGTTTGTATATCTTCTTTTCTGACATGTTGGCTAAATATTTGACACTGGAAGACCAGTGTCATCATGGTAAGGGGTGTCACCAGCAGGATCTTGCATTTTGCCTACCATATAATAGACTAAATCCAAGACGAGAAAAGCACTCAGCAGTTTGAGCCAGGCATTGAATTATCTTGAGGTGAAATCAAACTTTTCAGTGAAATTTTGTGGAAGGGCTCCCCTTTTGCCTTCCCGCCAGTCATTGTAACCAAAGTGCCTCTGCTATGTGTTCTTGGGCGGCCCCTTCATTCTACAGGTTTCTAAGCTGTGAGTACGTGCTCAGGCTGTGTGTGGCTGTTTCTGATAGTGTCCTTCCCCTCGTCCCACCGGGCAGGCTGCAGGGTCCCAGCGATAGCTCCTGCCATACATCCTTCCCAGCCAAAGTGAGGCTTCACTTGTTGCTTCCTGGACTATACATCCACTCTTCATTATTTTTTCTGGAGCCCCGTGAATAAATAAACAAGTGAATACATCAACAGGAAGCTAAGCCATCAGGATCTGAGTGCAACCCCATTATAATAATAACTGGCATCTGTATGAAGCTTTGCAGTTTATAACATGTCTTCACATATATAATTTATCCTTATCTTCAAAACAAAGTCATGGGGCATCATAATCATTGCCATTTTACAGATGAGGCCAACCGAGGTTCAAGGAGGTTAAATGAATCGCCTGTCACTGAGATGTTCGGTGACAGGCAGTGTTGCACAATAATGATTCCCCAAAACTGTGATCCCACCCGGCCCCAAACTATGAGCAAAAGAAACCAGATCCTGGATTGAAGAGTCTCCTGACAATTATGATTTAAAAAGAATCTTGATTTGCAATTTATTATACTTTCCAGCCTTTTACATTATTTGGGGGAAATTTTGCGGCTACTCTCGACACATGCAAAGTTAAAATTTTTTTTTTTTATTGGCAATACTCATATCTTCCATGACTCACCCAGCCTGACAGGAAATCTGTAGCCATGTCTGAGACTAACAAGCAAGCAAACGACACCTCTTTCTTATTGTTAATATGAAAAGGGTTTTTAGCTAGGGTCTCGAACTTAAATGCTGGACCTTTGTATGATGAAGGTCTTCTACTATTTATTTGCCACCTGCAAGAGAGGAGAACTCACATTCAACAGTACTACTTTCAATGTTTTATGATTATTTTTATTCTCTAGGGGCATCTGGGGACATCTTTAGCCCCTACCTAGTTTCTTTTACCTAACTTAATTCTTTTTTTTTTTTTTCTTTTTATCCTCACCCGAGGACATTTTTCCATTTTTTGTACAGACAGAGTGGGAGGGAGAGAGAGGAAGAGAGAGAGAGAGAAACATCGATGTGAAAGGGACACATCGAGCGGCTGCCACCCACACGACCAACCAGGGCCGGGGACAAACTGCAACCAAGGCATATGCCCTTAGCGGGAACCGAACCCCGGTCTCTCCGGACCGCAGGCGGGCGCTCTAACCACTGAGCCAAACCGGCTAGGGCCCTAACTTAATTCTTTCTCCACTCTTTCTTCTCCCTTTCTTGGACGTTTTGTGTCCTTAGCCTGGAGGCCCCACATGAGTAGTCCAATTCACCCTGTACTGGGTGCGCCTTGAGCACAGTGTCAGTGTGATGTTGCCGCAATCACTGGTGCACCCCTACGTGTTCCCCAGGGCTGCCTTGGAGCTGCTGGACTGGTGTGAAACCCCGTGTTAAACAGTGGCCCGACCGCAGCATTGACGGTGGTGGTAGAACAGGCGCCCTGGAAGGCCATCTGCTCCACACACAGAAAGGCAGGAGGGCAGAAGTAAGTGTGCCGAGGCAGTTCGGAGAGCAGCTTCGAGAGGGCACGTTCTCCTGGGAGTGGTGGTTTATTCATTGCCAGGGAGCCTGAAAAGTCCTTTGACTCAGGGTGTCTTCTCCCGCTCCTGCTCAGTCTCCTTCACTTGGTGGATGTGTGGAAGGACTGTGTGTCGTCTCAGAAACTTCTCACCCTTGTGGAAGGACCCGTGTCACACTCCCATATGGGACATGTGCTTTGCCTACTTCCAGAATGTCCCTTCCACGTCCTGTTCCTGGGCTGCACAGTGTGCCTCAGCTCTTCGTCTGGATGTAGCATGAAGAAAGGTACTCCATCCTTGAAGAAATTTTCATCCCTGGCCACATCCTGTTTCCCCCCTTCCTCAGAAAGTTTGGAAAACCAGCAGCCATGTGGCTACTTCCTGACTTTCTATTGATCTCCAGAGCTGCTGGCCACTCTTGGGTCTCTTTGTTGGGGGCAATATTGGGGCAAGGGTCAAGTTCACATATCGAGACTGTGTGACATACTGGTGTGGAGGTCACGTGATGACGGAATGAGGACAAAGAGCATGAGGCTCAGCATTTTCAGCAAACAACCAATCTAGGAATGAGAGCTGCTAGTATTTCCTGTTTATTCATACTTTTTAGGTTAATTATCTGCTTCTTGTTCTCAAATTTAGAAATTGCTTGCCTAGCACAATTTTAGATACCCAGAAACTATCTACCAAATATATGCCTCCAGTACAACCTGGGAGTTCATTAGATTAATTAATTAATTAATAGTGGTTAATAATGCTTTGAAATCCTTTTATTAAAAGGAGCACCTGAGACCAAAGTACTATGATAATCAGGTCTAATGAGGTCAGTGGTTTAAAGAGAGGGCTTTAAACCATATATAAAGCTCCTCCAAAGATCAGTGGTACAGAATGGAGGCAGGAAGAGGCAGAGGCAGGTGAGTCTGCATGCTGGTGTGTGAAAGTTCCACGGCGGTAGAGCCACACTGAAGTCCACTGGGATTGAAGCCAGTTGCTCGGTGATCTACTGACTAATGGATTCTCAAATTGTTAAATGTATGTTATAGGACAAATGCCACCACTCTGTAAAAGGCTGATGTGCAGGTTGATGTTGAATACAGAAGACCTCCTCAAACAGAGAGGGGAGATTTTCTCTGCTGCCTTCATTCAAAAGGCAGCTGATCCAAGAAGGATTTATTTTTATTTTTTTAATCCTCACCTGAGGACATTTTTTTTTGTTTTGTTTTTTGATCAGATAGAGTGGGAGGGAGAGAGAGGAAGAGAGAGAGAGAGAACATTGATGTGAAAGGGACACATCGAGTGGTTGCCACCTGGACAACCCAACCAGGGCCGGGGACAAACTGCAATCGAAGTATATGCCCTTAGCGGGAACCAAACCTGGGTCTCTCTGAACTGCAGGCCGACGCTCTAACCACTGAGCCAAACCATCCAGGGCGATCAGCTGCCTTTTGAATGAAACTAAGAATAGCATTGATGGAGGAAGAAATGGAGCACAGCAAACCTGAGTCATAATCTCTAATTCTTCTCTCAGTGGTTTCTCTTGATTTGCTAAGGAGATACCAGAATGGGGACAAAATTATGGTATGACCAAGCTTGGAGATAGGATAGGAGTGTGTGGGTGGGTGGGTAGGTGGGGGGCAGGTAATGCATATTTAAGATGTTCACAGACTCATGTCAATGTGAAATTGGAGTAAATTGAGTTGGGAGTATATGCTTAGGGAAAAGTGTGATCCAATGAACCATAATGCTGAGTTGATGAGAATAACATATTGGAACTGGAGAAAGGGTATTGAGTTGGAAATGATTCTAAACTCCTTTTTTAATCAAAGCATTTCCCTTTGAGAAACTTTCAAGTTTTAAAATTAACCAGTTTCTCTTTCCAATCATAACAGGTGCTGTAGGATAAGGTTCACCACCATGTTATCCTCTGTCCTGTTTGGGGGACTTATTGCCCTCATTGGTGAGTACGTCATCAATTGACATTTAGCATTGTGGTATGTCCACGAAAACATCAGCCCGGTCATGAACCTGAGAGCAATGCTTACATGCAGTGGAGGAGTGGGCTGTTCTTCCGACAGCCTGGCCATTGATCAACGGCTTATTGTTTCTGTTGCGAGGGTATCCCGCTTGCCCAGCAGGTGGAGGCGGTATCAGTGGGAATTTATCGGACGGTGCTTTAGGAGGCAAGGCACATGAAGAGAAAATTATCAGTGCCAGGCAGTAAATAAGAAATAAGAATTAAATGAGTATATATAGATTAAAAAACTAGTCCTGCCCTGGCCAGTTTGGCTCAGCGATTAGAGTGTCGGCCTGCGGTCCGGAGAGACCTGGGTTCGGTTCCTGCTAAGGGCACGTACTTCGGTTGCAGTTTGTCCCCGGCCCTGGTTGGTTGTGCGGGTGGCAGCCACTCGATGTGTCCCTTCACGTTGATGTTTCTCTCTCTCTCTCCCTTCCTCTCTCTCCCTCCCACTCTATCTGTAAAAAAAATGGAAAAATATCCTCGGGTGAGGATAAAAAAAAAACAAAAAAACTAGTCCTGGAGGAGTTTAGGAGGAAGAGTTTATATCCAGTGAGGACACTTAAACCAGAAAGGCTCTTTTTAGGGAGTTGTGATCGTTGATGAATGCTTGGTGTCTTCACAAGAGAAGAGCTTGCTGGATAAGAAGAATGCCTTCAGTAAGGTCACAGAGGCAGACATGCATGAAAAGTGCTGAGATACAGTAAGCAGGTCAGGGTAACCAGAATAGAGAGGAGATTTCTGAGGGGAAGACTGGAAAGGCAGGCTGGTGAGATGGTAAGGGACCTTGAGTAAGAACAGATTGAAACTTCAGCCTAAAAAAATAAAAAGGAAAGCTGTTGTAAACACTGTTCAAGTTGCCTTTAATTAATAAAGTGAAGATTGAGAAGAAAGTGTTTCTAGAATATTTAATGTTTAATTCTAAATCTAAAAATGTTAATGTTTCACTCTCGATTTGTAAAAATGATGCTACTGCAAAGTGATAATTTCCAGTTACTTATGGTCAAAGACAGGAAACATAGATTCAAATGTTTCCTCCTCCTTCAGTTCAGGTGGGAGCAGAGTTGTGTAGCCAGTAGACCAGGTATGAGCCTCCATGCTAGCTGTGTTTGACCGACAGGTACTATAATTAAGAAGGAGCTAATTGCTTATGATGCCAACACAAGCAGGGTTAAGTCCATGTCATATTCCAGTCCCCTTGGAGCAGTGGTTCCCAAGCTTCAATATGTAGAAGAGTCTGCTGGGGATGCTGGTTAAAATGCAGATTCCTTGGCCTTATACCTAGATTCTAGCTCAATAGACCTAGTGTGAGGAGCCCTGAAATAGCCTTTTTCTTTTTTTTATTAACATAACGAGGAAGACTTTACTGCTCTCATCATGGGAAACTCCAGGGCTTCAGGAGCCTGCTGGTGAAGAGCAAATATCTAGATCTACATCCACACAGACAGATATTTAAATCACAGTATCACAATCCTTTTATGATTTTTGCCTGAAATAGTCAATGCTAAGATGACTTAAAAATAATATGAGTAAGTTTTTCTCATGGTCCTTGACATCTGCTGGACTCCGGAGCAGGCTCTGTTGGCAGGACTGTGGTGGTGCGTGTCTCCGTCTGCCTCCTGAAGGCCTGTTACCACCTGCAGGGGCTCAGCTTCTGGAGAGTGTTCAGAAGGGTTTGTTCTCAGGAAGAGTGAGAGAGATTTGGAGGTTGGGCTGGTGACATCAAACACACTGATTGGTCTCTTGGTCCATCTTGTTCCGGCTTCAGAGAAATAAGACGTTTGCTAATGAGACTGGTGTCAGGTGTGCAGTTTCTGTCTCTTGAACTCTCTCATGACAGAGATCTTGTTCCTGGTCTTGTTTCTACTCTAAGGGCTCATTAGGTTCTCTTTTTCTCTGGACATGGACTCTAGATCTCTGATTTTGAAACCAAATTTGGACTCTTGCCTCTGGAATCCCAATCTCCCTGGCAAGTTACTCTCTGGAGTCAATCCCAGGATGAGGGTTGTTGCAAAGGACATGATGAAGGTGTGTAATCGGCAGGAAGTGTGACAGGTCCCACACCGTCTATCTTCTCTACTTTGAATCTTCTCCACAGGGTGAGCTTGGTCTCGGCTTGCTGCCAGGTCCTCCTCACGTCCTGATCTTCTCTGGACTCAGTGCCTCAATTTTCTATCTGAAACCAACCCTGGATTCTAGATTTTTCAGAGTTGATTTCTAAAGCAAGCTTTGGTTTGGCAGCATGACTTGGATAAGGTTTTTGGTCGAATGCTTTGATGAGGATTTTCAGCTGACTGTTTGTGAGATTGGAGGGGCTTCATCTATGATTCACTGCTACGGTCTTGTTTGGAGAGTTGGCTTAAGCCGTGTTGGAAGAGAGTCCTGAAGTCTCAGCCTTCAACCAGGAGACTGAGACATGCATTTTAAAAAAGTATTTTTCTTTATTGATTTCAGAGAAAGAGGGAGAGAGAGATAAAGAACATTGATTGGCCACCTCCTGCACGCCCCTCACTGGGGATTGAGCCTGCAACCTGGGCTTGTGCCCTGACTGGGAATCGAACTGGGACCTCTCAGCCCACGGGGTGACACTCAATCCACTGAGCCACACTGGCCAGGCCAAGATATGCATTTTTAATAGGCATCCCAAGACCCTCTGATGCCTGGGGTCTGTGGGTTACGCACTGAGCATGGCAAAGCCTGCCTTCCCATAAAAGGACACTGAACATGTTGCTATATAGACACTTGATCCACATAATTTAGATAATTTCTTTCCCTCTCATTCATTCACTTACCCATTTGTTTATCCATTCCACCAATATTTACTGAATATCTGCTTCGTGCCAGGCATTATTCTAGGTGCTGAGGAGAATACAGCAGAGAAAAGCATCGTCTAGTGAGGGGAACAGGCAGAAAGAAAGAGAGGGAGAGAAAGGCAGAAAGAAATTTCAGGTGGTGACAAGTGATATAAAATAAAAAAGGCCCAGTTGGTGTGGCTCAGTGGATTGAGCATCATCCCATGGACTGAAATGAAAGGTCCCGGTTCGATTCCTGGTCAGGGCACATGCCCGGGTTATGGGCTCGATCATGGTGCAGGAGGCAGCTGATCGATGTTTCTCTCTCACATCGATGTTTCTGTCTCCCTTTCTCTCTCTCTAAAAAAAAAATCAATAAAAACATATTTAAAAAATAAAATAAAAATTGTAAGGTAATGGGAGACAAGCAATGAGGCAAGTGTGTTGCCTTTTTAGTATAAGTAGACCAGAAAGACCTTTCAGTAAGGTAACTTAAAATAAACTTCACTATAGAAAGTTTCAAGCTTACAAAGTGGGCAGAGAAATAGTATAATAAACGCCCATGTCGCCATCGTCCAGTTCCTATGGTTGTAACAGTGTGCCACCTTATTTAGTCTGTCCCTCATTCCTGCTTGGGAAGGGGCGGTGTTGGAATGTTCAGAGCAGTCCAGAACATCACACACTTCCCCTGCAAATGTTCAGTATGTGTCTGTAACACAAAAGGACCAGCCTGGCACAACATGTTTCTGGTTCATCTGTAACAGTTTCTGCCCCGGAGCAGGAATCAGACCTTTTCCTGAGGAGCACGGATCCCTTTTAGTAGGAAACGGGATTGAGACCACACTTTGGGTGTTAGGGGTTGTCATTTCAGCTCTTTCCACTGGAGAGGACTAGAAAATACATATTTTTTAAAGAGAAAAATAATTCTGCATTCATATGCATATTTTGCTTTTATATTTAAGAGTACAAGAGGTTATGTTGGTTTTATATTTGTACCTCTGCAGTCTTACACTAAATATCTTGGTTCCTAATGACATTAACCTGGTTGCTTATGTATATATAATAGTTTCAAAATAACTGTGACAGTATTACCAGCCAACGAGACTTAAATGAATATCATTTAAGCTTTTCTTGTGATTCTGTATGTTCATAGGATGCGTTCCATTAGCAGTATATACTTACATTGACATAGTTTAAAGTCACTTGAAATAGATCTCCTCTATATGTTAAGTTTTCAGTTTGATATGCTGTTAGGTTTATGTGTTTAAAAAAATTTTTAAGGATGTCTTTTTTCTATTTGATTTAATTTTTTAAATTATGAAAATATTTACATGGCTCCAAAATAAAGATACATTTAGAGAGCGCTAGCCCCATCCTTGTTCCCTGTACCCTCTTCCTACCTGCCACCACAAATAACAATTTTTGTTGGTTTTGGGTTCATCCTTGTATTGCTTCTTTTGAAAATATAAGCAAATCACACACACATACACACATGCATGCACACACACAATCATATTTCTTCTCCTTTCTTAAAGAGTATAATTCTATGTATAATATTCTGTACCTGGAGATAATGTCACAGGAGTGCATAGAGTTCTTCCCCTTTCCTTTTGATGGCTGTGTAGTACTCTGTTGGGTGGAGGTAGCTTACCTTGTTCAGTCAGTCCCTATAGTAATGACATTTGCATTGTTTACAATCCTTCACTGTTACAAATGATGCTGAAACAACAGCCTATTGCAAAACCCCTGCAGAGCGATGAGACTGCCTGTTTCTTTGTTTTTTAGTTTTAAAACCAATTTATTTATTTATTTTTGTTACTGATGTTTCTCTTTTTTGTCCCCCTCACTGACACCCTCCTCCTAATCCCCCTCCCCCCAACATTATTGTCTATGTCCTTGTTTACACATACATGCATAAAAATTCTGTGGTTTACCTCTCCCCCACCACCCCCTCTTCTGGGGATTATCAGTCTGTACCCCACTTCCACGTCTTTGGGACAACCCCATTCCTCAGACTGTTATGTTCATTATATTCCACAAATAAGTGAGATCACGTGATACTTGTCTTTCTCTGTTTGGCTTGTTTCGCTTAGGATAATACTTTCCAGGTCCCTCCATGTTGTCTCAAAGGATAAGAGATCTTTCTTACAGCTGCATAGTACTCCATTGTGTATATGTACCACAGCTTTTTTATCCACTCATGTATCGATGGACACTTGGGCTGTTTCCAGATCTTAGCAATTATAAATAGTGCTGCTATGAACATAGGGGTACATATATTCTTTCTGGTTGGTGTTTCAGGCTTCTTAGGATATATTCCTAGAAATAGGATCACTGGGTCAAATGGCATTTCAATTTTTAATTTTTTGAGGGAACACCATGTTGTTTTCCATAGTGGCTGCACCAGTCTGCATTCCCACCAGCAGTGCACTAGAGTCCCCTTTCCTCCACACCCTCGCCAGCGTTGGTGTTTGATGATGTGTTGATGGCGGTCCAACTGCCTGTTTCCTCACAGCTTCCCCCATAGAGTGCGTGGCCCAGCTTTGAAATTCTTGCCATTTAAATAGATAAAAAATAGTGTCTTAGTGATGTTTTAACATGGTATTCTCTTCCTTGAATATGGTTGAGCACCTTAAAGACATTTTTTTTTCTTTATTGATTTTAGAGAGAGGAAGGGAGAGAGAAAGAGAGAGAGAGAGAGAGAGAGAGAGAGAGAAACATCAATGAGAGAGAACATTGATTGGCTGCCTCCTGCAAGCCCCCCACTGGGGATTTGGCCCACAACCTGGGCATGTGCCCTGACTGGAAATCGAACTGGTGACCTCTTGGTGCATGGGTTGACGCTCAATCACTGAGCCACACCAGCTGGGCAGTTGCGCACCTCTTTGGATGTTTAGGATCACTTCTTGCTGTCATACTTCTTGCTGGCAGGGTGGTATTTGAATGGAGACATGAAGGCAGTGAGGCAGCAAAGTGTGAGGGTATCTAGAGGAATAGAATTCTGGGCAAACGGAATGGCAGATACAAAGCCCCTGGGGCAGGAACCTACCTGGTATGTTGAGGATACACAAGGAGAAGAACATGACTGGAGAAGAGTGAGGAAAGGGAAGGAGAAATCAGAAAGTGAGCAGAGGGCCCGATCAGGTGGGGCTGAGGCCAAGAAACAGACGTGGCCATTCCTCTGAGTGATGGGACCACTGGAAGGTGCAGAGAGAAGGGAGAATAGTTTGTAAGAGTGGAGCAGGGAGGTCAGTTAGGAGGCTATTACAATAACCCAGATGAATAATAATGGTTGTTGAGATGTGGCAGTAACAAGGGTTCAGACTCTGGATGTATGTTTTCAGTCTGCACCCCCAACCCCCACGCCTCAGTTGTACATGTGATCTGTGTGATAGGAATTTGTCCTCTTATTCACTCACATATATTTCCCGTGCACGTTGTAGGCACAGGATGCTACACTGAGGGCCGTGAGGAGTGCCGAGATGATGGGCCTGCTCTCTGCACCACAGGATCCACACTACTTACAGAGCTTCTTGGCTTTGCTGGTTCTGCTGCTTCTGTGGTCTAGATAGGCTTTCTTAGCATCTCAAGTTTAGTTCCTGGTTTCACCATCTAACTGTTGGTCCATCTACATTTTCTGTTTTGCCTGTTTGTAGATGTGAGAGAGCAGATAGTACCTGTATTTTTGTTTTGGTGAGTTTGTCTTTTAAAAAAATTAAATACTTTTTCAAAGTTAATCTTTATAGTTGCTTTGTTTTCCTTTTAGAATAAATATCGATAAGGATGAGCTCCGTTGTTTGTGTGCCGAATTCTAAGAGTCTCTTTATACTGTGAAGTTGATCAGAACTAGGTCTATGGTGAATGGGTGAAATCCACCCCTCTATTAAAATTTACAAAACCAAGTGAAAGAACATAGTTTTTTTATGTTAATCATTTGAAAAAATAAAATTTCCTACAACAAATATTTGTAGTCTTAAGGTACAACTCAATAATCCTAGGAACTATTAGAACAAACTTTTCAACTTACGCGAAGGCTCTCTATCTCCTTTAGTAGACAGACTTGGACAGTCATGGGAGGTAAAGTACAGCACAGGGAATATAGGCAAGAACATTGTAATAACTATGTATGGTGTCAGAAGGGTACTAGATTTATCAGGGTGATCACTTAGTAAGTTATATAAATGTCTAGTCACTATGTTGTACACCTGAAACTAAAATAATATTGTATATCAACTGAAATTTAAAAGTAAACATGTTTTTAAAAAAATAAATAAAACAGCCATGGCTGGTGTACCCAGTGGTTAGAGCTTTGGCTCTAGAACTGAAGGGTCTCAGGTTTGATTCCTGGTCAAGCGCACGTACCTGGGCTACAGGTTCAGTCTCTGGCCCTGGTCAGGGTGCATGCAGGAAGCAACCAATTCACTTACCTCTCTCACATCAATGTTTCTCTCTCTCCCGCCCTCTAATTCCTTCCTCCCTTCCTTCCACTCAGTCTAAAAATCAATGGAAAAAATATCCTTGGCTGAGGATTAACAAGAAATAAAAATAATTAAATAAAACAAAAATAAATAAATGGACATACACTTACCTCATAATGACAAAATAAAAAATAAGAATAGCTTGAACTTAAATTTTTATGGTAAGTTAAATTTTATTTCTAATTAGATCTAGATAGAAACTCAATTTCACAGCAACATGATATAAAAATGAAAGTTAATGAATGGTACTTTTTTTCCTTCTCTTCCTAAACAAAGATAATTGTCAGTCCAGATGTTTACATGCCCAGAAGCATTTGTGTCAGACGTGTCTCAAACGTCTCTCATAGTTCCTGCTCAAAACTATAGTAGCAATTTTAAGTCTGATCTAGATTGCACATGTTTTCGAGATCTGTAAGAATTGATTTTTATAATACTTTCCATAATGGTTAGAATTAAGTGTTGCATTACAGTTTTTAAGGTTGGAGTAGAGTGGGAAGAGGAATCTTCTGTTCTGTCTGATGAGTCATTCTGGGGTCCTGAGGAGACACTTGGGGAGGACTAAGTCTATGGCTTTTCCTTTGGTTTAATGTTTATTATAGCAACTCAAGCAATATTTTCTCACAGGCTTTGTGTGAATTATCATCCCTCACCCTTCTCCAGGCACTTCTAGGGGCTCTTATCCTTTTACTCACTCAAGGAATCCTCACCTGCATTCCCACCTGTACCACGGCTGCTATGGCAACATCATGACCATGGACACTCCCGGTGCTGCCTGTGATATAACCAGGCTGCTTAACTGCGGTAAGTGACAAGCAAAGCAAATACTTGGCTTTCCCCTTTCATCATTTTCAGATTCGTTCTTAGAAAAATAAGTTCATTTTGAAAAGGCATAATCATTATTATGGCAATAATGTCAAAATTAAAAATGAGAAGCAAATAGAAGTCTGACCAACCTAACATACTACTTCTTTTTATTTCCCCCCTATTCTTTCCAAACTTGTTCAGATGTGTTTATTTCTACATGTAGAAATAATTGCTTAAATAAACTATTAAATTCTGGCTTTGCTTGTTTGTTTGTTTGTTTGTTTGTTTGCTGCTGGGTTTCCTTCATGTTAGTGCATGAACATGTTAAGCAAGCCTCTTGTTCTTTGAAAGTCCTCACTTTTGTCATCCTGATTCCAAATCTTCTTCCTGTTATCCCAGTACTAGAGTGTCAGAGCGGGAAGCAACACAGACAGCTAATCGTACCTTCCCAATTTACAGATCAGAAAACAGAGGCTCAGCAAGGAGGAGAGACTGCCTAAGGGCCTGGAGCTGAGTGGTGGCAGAACCAGACTCAAACTTCGGTTGGCTGACTTCCAGCCTCCGAAACTTCCCAATGCAACAGTGTGGCAGAAAACAGAAAAATGAGGGGAAAAAAGCAGAATTCTGGGATTAAAGAATAAGAGATCAAAACATGTCCTAGAATGCTTGTCCCAGACTGTGAGCCACGGTCACGGACTGTGGCTAACTTATCAAACTTTGAGAAAAGGTTCTCTTCTGGAGTAGAGGAAACAGCTTATTTTCTATCGACTTAGGGGTTCATGGTTCTGAAATGTTCGCTGAAATGGATTTGAAGGCCTTAAAGCCCTACCAGACCCTGATCAAAGAAGTTGGGCAGAGGCATTGCGTGGACCCAGCTCTCATTGCAGCCATCATTTCCAGAGAAAGCCACGGCGGAGCCGTCCTGCAAGATGGCTGGGACCACAGGGGCCTTAAATTTGGCCTGATGCAGGTACTTAGCTGGGAACTTTCAATTATCCCCGCGTCATCGCTCCTTGCAGAAGCTCAACTCAACTGGAAGCCGCTTGCAGTATTTCGAGGCTTCAAAATACCCTAGTACCTCAGCACAATTTGTACTGTGATTTCTGTAATACATGTTTGGTATTTTATTTGAGATTTTCCAGTTATTGAATATCTTTAAGAAAGTATTATATTGGTTTCATAACTAAAATTTGCAATAAATAATATGCAACGCCTTAAATTGAGAAAGTCTTATAAAGGGTATTATTACTACAGGTGTCCTTGGGGTTCACGATGTAGTCAATCTCATCCACATGGATCAAAACACTGTTATTAAACCTCACTTAAACCAGCTTGTTACTTAGACAAATTGGAAGAAGATCCAAATTATCTGGACATTTGTTTCCAGGCTCAATTTTATGTTGTCTGTAGAAACCCAGACTTTTAGCCTTCCCAGTTAGAAACAGATTTGTACTTTCATATGTAGACTTTAAGAGCTAATTGTTTTGAAACAACTTTTTCATTTATTTATGGACATATGTGTGTCCATAACTTAACTAAACTTAACCAAAACTGTGCCACACCACTTCTCCCAAATCCTGCTTTGTTTCTCTGACTCTTTTCTGTGAAAGAAAGGACCGTAGAACTGATTCCATGGGGATGAAGGACAGGGGCCAAAGCCAGTAGCTATGGACTTGAACACAAGCAGGAGAAATCAGGAGCAGCAGTAAAGTGTGTTGCTTCATTCAGATGCTGACATTGCTATTTGAATTTTCTAGCTTGATAAGAAAATGTATCGCCCCGTTGGTTCCTGGGACAGCGAAGAACACCTGCTGCAGGCTGTTGGGATTCTAGCAGAAAGGATTAAGGCGATCCAGAGAAAATTCCCCAGTTGGAGTGCGGCTCAGCACCTCAAAGGTAGGCCGTATTTGTGGTGCTTTCTTTAAAAGAGCTGAGAGCGAGACCCCTGAAGACAAGATGTGTCTGCACCTCCCTGGGAAGGGTTGTTGACGGTGCCCTCGGGAACCCTGAGTTACTTTGAGTGGTCCTCCTGCCCAGCGTTCATTTCCTTCCTACTGGATGCTGGAGCTCTCAGCACACCTCTCACTGGTTAGTGAGCCCCCGAGTGATGCCTTGAAAGTTATGCAGCAGCTTAAAGGAATGTGTGCCTTCCTCTGACAGGTGTCTTTCCGGATAAAAGGAGCTACTAATCAGTTCCTGAATTGTGTGAACAAACGTTTACTCTGTCAGCATTCTTAGTGACATCGGGCTTCAGGTACCACGATATGTGCTTGGCTGATCACAGACCTCCGCAAGTTCGCCATGTCCCAATGGCATTAAGTCACTAGCCTCCCACAGTGAATCTGCACTTTGTCCTACATTTTCTGTCTCTGTGACAGGTGCCATCACATATCCCGTCCTCTCAGACAGAAAACCAGACTGTTTCCTTAGGCTCTCTGGTTCCTTCTTTCTTCGTATCCAACCCCACCAGTTCTTACCTACTAAGACCCATGTGTGTACATACCTCTCCCTCCACACTTCATGGCCTTTATTTAGAAAAAAATTTATATTTCAAGGTCCTTAAAGGCAGGGATCAGGACGATGGACCTTTTTCTCTAGACATCAGAGTAGAGCATAATTACGTTAAATACATAAATAACTATTAAAGAAGAAGATTCTAGGGCTTAGTACACTTATGCACACACATGCTTATCACATACGTATCCCTACCGAGAGATGACGACCTGGGTAGCTTTGTGCACCCTGCACTCAGTGTGGCACCCATCCTGGCACAGAGTGGGTGCTTAGAAACACTTATGGGATGAATAAATGAGTGGAATATGACATGACTGAGAGAATATTATCAGCATTCTCAGACTGCAGATTTGCTGGGGATCTAGTTTTGCAGGCCTAGACGACATAAGAAGCAAATCTGACTTTTGCGGCAAGAACAGTAAAAGTCTTTAAGAGAGAGAGAAGGGAAGCGATCTGGATTTCCCCAGTGGTTCCTGAGGTAGTAGGTGTGCTCAGGAGGGAGGGAGGGGGGGGTCTGGGACTGCCTGCTTTGGAAGATTTGCCTGGAGGGCTGACATTCTGGGAATGGTCATATCTTATTTTTGCTGAAAGTTAATATTTCAATCTGAACCTCTGTGTTTTATTTCAGGTGGTCTCTCAGCCTTTAAGTCAGGAAGTGAAGCAATTGTCACCCCCATGGACATAGAGTCTGACTTGGTCAATGATATTCTCGCCCGAGCTAAATTCTACAAAAGACACGGCTTCTAGGCAAAGCTCTAGGTGGGCCAGGTTGGTAGCTGCTCAGCTGCCCCCCCCCCCCTTTTTTTAAAATCTTTATTGTTGAATGTATTACAGATGTTCCTCATTTTTCCCCCATTGACCCCCTCCTTCCCACTCCCGCCCCCCTCCCACCTTTTCCCACACTAGTGTCTGTGTCCATTGGTTATGCATATAAGTTCTTTGGTTTATTTCTCCCCCCCCCAACCCCTTTCCCTTTGAGGTTTGTCAGTCTAGCAATGAATTTGTACTTCTTAATCCCTTCACCTTTTTCACCCATTCCCCCAATCCCCCTCCCATCTGGCAACCAACAAAATGTTCTCTGTATCTATGAGAATGTTTCTGTTCTGCCTGTTCATTTTGTTTGTAGATTCCATTGTCGATAGATACGTATTTATTGCTATTTTGTTTGTTCATATATTTTATCTTTTTCTTCAAAAAGACCCTTCATCATTTCATATAACAACGGTTTGGTGGTGATGAACTCCTTTAACTTTTTCTTGTCTGGGAAACTCTTTATATGGTCATCAGTTCTAAATGACAGCTTTGCGGGATAGAGTTAATCTTGGTTGTAGGTTCTTGCTTTTCATCACTCTGAATATTTCTTGCCACTCCCTTCTGGCCTGCAAAGTTTCTTTTGAGAAATCAGCTGACAGCCTAATGGGAACTCCCTTGTAGGTAACTAACTGCTTTTCTCTCGCTGCTTTTAAGATTCTCTCTTTGTCTTGAACCTTTTGCATTTTGATGATGATGTGTCTTGGTGTGGGCCTCTTGGGGTTCATCTTGTTTGGGACTCTCTGTGCTTCCTGGGCTTGTATGTCTGTTTCCTTCACCAAGTTAGGGAAGTTTTCTGCCATTATTGTTTCAAACAGGTTTTCAATTTCTTGTTCTCTCTCTTCTCCTTCTGGCATCCCCAAGATGCGAATGTTGGCACACTTGAAGTTGTCCCAGAGGCTCCTTACACTCTCCTCATGTTTTTGGATTCTTTTTTCTTTTTGCTGTTCTGATTGGGCATTTTTTGCTTCCTTATATTCCACATCAATGGTTTGCTTCTTAGATTTACATACTCTACTATTGACTCTGTGTAAATTATTCTTTATTTTAGTTAATGCCTCCTTCATTTCTGACTGTGCATCCATCATTTCTGACTGGTTTCTTTTTTATGCTCTTGAGGCCCTCACTAAGTTCATTGAGCATCCTTATAAGCAGTATTTTAAACTCAGCATCTGTTAGGTTGCTTATCTCCATTTTGCTTAGTTCTTTTCTTGGGGTTTTGTTCTGTTCTTTCATTTGGGACCTGTTTCTTTGTCTCCTCATTTTGGCTGCCTCCCTGTGTTTGTTTCTGTGTATTACTTAACGAGAGGTATGGAGCTATCTGAGACCAGATGCTGCTTGTTTGAAAGAATTTAGGAAAACCTGAAGCAGGATCCAAGACAGGCCAATCCTATGGTTAAGCAACTGGCAACAGCTTGGGTGGGCCTGAAAGTTGGGTGGGGCGGGGCCTCAGGGAATCATCAGGGCAGGGCTACCAGTGTGAGCCAGGTTGCCAGAGTCCCAGATTTGTCAGCTGGCCCTTTTTTGAGAGTTTGGTATGATGTGTTGTACCAACACTGCCAAAGGAATGGTTGCAATTATGACAGAAAATTAATTTCCTAATTCTTTGAATGCAAATAAGTATTGAAAAAAATTCAACCCAGTTCACAATATAGTTCCTATGAAATGTGCATAACATATGCATAATTATTTTGTAGTAACAGTGAATATCATGGTAAGTGATGCCTAGATTATTTCAGTGAGGCCTCATTGTAGCCCATGATTTCAATGCCCACCTACTCTGTGTCTTACCAGAACTGCTAATAGAAAAGAGCCTGACTTGAGCCTCTGTCCTTTTCCCAATATCTGCCCGAACCACTAGGGCGTTGCTTGTGAGAAATGCCTGATCACAAGCCAGCCAACCTGTGGGACAATGGAGAAGCCCTGGATGGAAGTCCGCCCCGGGTGACTGACAGCTGCAGTGATGGAGCGGACCTTCCTGAAGGATTGTACCCCGCACCCCTCAGACCCGCACTACCTCCTGGGCTGCTTCCTCTTGTTTCCTGAAGACCCAGGGCTCAGCTTCTTTTCCTGAATTTTCAGTAGTTCCTGCCACATACTCTTTTAAAGGATCGGCTCCCCATAAACCTTGGCTGAAGATAAACAATAGGACCCAAATTAGTCATGGTTTTTTGGTTGCCAGCAAAAGTGACCAATTTTGGAAAACATACGCAATAAAAGGAAATTACTGGAAGGTTATCAGAAGACTCACAGGACCACTGAGAAGGTCAAGGACATGAAGAGAAATCAAGAAACTGGGGTCCGTGTCACAGGAACCGGTTGACCGTACTTTACACCATCCCCGCACAATTGGATTGGCACCCTCACTGCATAAATGAACTCCAGAGACTTTTCCTTCCACCCTTTCATCATTCGGCTTCACATTCATAGTCCCAGGAGAGAGACTCTGACGGACATATCTTGAGTCATATACACATCAGTCCCTCGGCTACTTTGCTCTTTGGTCTTGCCGAGACTACCCCAGATGGAGAAAAGACAGTTCTATAGAAGGAAACCAGGGAGTTTGTGGCTTTTTCTTACCATACTCAGAAGAAGACATACATAGTAACGTGTCGGAGTGTAACACTAACAGTCCCATCGACGTGGACCCTGTGGGCCCTTTCATCCCTTTGGTGATGTCTCATTAATGCTTCTACCCATTGCTTCTCTTTCTGAGAAAGAATCAAAATCATGCCATGTACCTTTGAGCCCCTTAGAGAAAGCTAAGTAAATCCTTCTCTGCCCAATCACCTCTCAACCCAGCCTGAGGATTTGACCCAGGCAGACCTGGGACCCCGGTGCTGCATTTCACTGGGCAGAGCCAATGATCAGCTGATGTCATTGAGCACCATACTGTATCAATTGTTAAATATTTCTATTATCATCTCTGCATGTGGGTACCAGGTGAGATAATTTCCAAGTAATTTTCAAAATAAAAAATAATACAGTGACTTAAACTCTGAATCTATTTCCCCAGTATTCTCTCTATGATTGCGATGCCAAGAGAATGTTCAAAGTGGCTTAGTTTAGTTCCCAGAGAAGCAGACCCTGGGACAAGGGTTCAAACACAGGTAGTTTATTTAAGAGGTCAGGAAATGCTGGTATGAAGTGGCTCAGTGATACAGGGAAGGAAGACAGACAATGTAAGGTATGTCATCAAGCCAGCCACCACAGCACTGGAGCTCAGTCTTGCAAGCAAACATCAAGGAATGGTGTAAAACACATGTCTCAGAATTATTCTACCCAAGGGACAAGGAGCTGGGGTATTTATACACCAACTTCTCAGAGCCATTGATTGAGGGATCTGCCTGTTGCGGGAGATCTGTGTTAATTCTTCGCTCCTCTGGTGCCATGCAAGCAGGCAGCACACTTCTCTGCACTTCCAAGAAAAAGAGGCTGTAGGCACAGAGATGCAGATACTGGCCTTTGGAAATCAAGACTCCTGAAATGTCCAGGGATACGGGCAGGGCCCTGAGAGTGTCTGTTTCACAGGCATTGGATGGACCTGGAGGTTGGGACTATCCCTCCAACATCGCTTACTTTCCTCTTACCTAACAACATCGTAAGAATCATCTGGAAATAATACATAAGCCTCACTATGCCTCATGAGTTCCATGCTGAGATTCTCCATAATCTATTCAAGTGAATAATTAGATGTAATAGAAGTGTCCCAGTTGATTCTTGAGGATTTACTGAGAACAAAATTAAGATGTTAGACTCAAATGTGGCTCCATTTATTATGTTTAAAGTACTTCTCAATTTTTTTCAATAGTTTTATAGAGAAATCTCCTGATCTGATTTTATTTTTTCCTTTATTGATTTTAGAGAGAGGAAGGGAGAGATAGAAACATCGATGACACAGAACACTGATGGCCACCTCCTGCATGCCCCCCACTGGGGATTTGGCCCACAACCTGGCATGTGCCCTGACCGGGAATCAAACTGGGGATGTCATGGTGCAGGGTCGATGCTCAACCGCTGAGCCACACCAGCTGGACTCAATTTTCTTTATATACTTTTGCCTGTGCCCTCTTCAGGGAACATGAATCGCTTTATGTTTATCTCCTATTATGTAAAATATCAATTCTTTTCATTGGCTAAAAACCAATCTCTCACTGGAAGATGGAGAATGGTTGTCTCATCAATAGTTTTTAAAGCAAAAAGAAATCTACAACCATTTCCCTGGCTGGACTGTCATGATTACACCGTCACCCTTTCTCTTTCTTGGCCATCAGAATCTCCCAGCACTCTAGGTGTCACGGGTGTGGAAGTTGACACTTTCTCCCTTGACGGCCCCTGCAGGGTGCCAAGAGAGTGTACTGAAAATGGGTCATAGTAAGGTCTGCCTCAGGGTGTTGTGAAGACTAAAGGAGACAGTGTGTGGGAACCACTCAGCCGCCATCGAGTGTCGTGGTGGCAGCATCCCCAGAGAGGCCTTGGCAGCCAAGGGCTAATGAGGACACAGGATTGGGGAGACGGGGGCCTGGGAAAGATGAGGGAGAATGTGACTGACAGCAACTGTCTGCCTTGCCAGCCCCCTGGCCTTAGCCTGTGACGCGGGCCTTAGTTTCCAACTACTGAGTCCAAAAGAGAGGACTTACCTGCCAGTTCTTTTTAGCTGCCATTTCCATGTTTATTTGTATTGAATAATTTTTAAAAAAACCTCTTTAAAAATATTAAATTTAAAATAACCTCTTTTATAGCTGTGGTACATTTACACAATGGAACACCTTGCAGCTGTAAGAAAAAAGATCTTTTACCCTTTGAGACGACGTAGAGGGACCTGGAGCGTATTACGCTAAGTGAAATAAGCCAGGCAGACACAGACGAATATCACATGATCTCACTTGTTTGTGGAATATAACGAGCACAATAAGCTGTTGAACAAACAGATGCAG